TCACCCCCGCGCCCTTGCGGGATGGCGCATAGCCCCCTGCCTCCCCCGTTTATTCCTTTCATTATCCGGTGGGCCTGTTTCTCACTTATTCATCGCTATGAGTTCAAACATCAACTTCTCACGATCAACTATTTACAATCGTTTAAACTTTTATTGCTCCTTGTTCTGACATGTCTCCTGACGGAACTCTCACCACAGCGTTTCGTTCCTGAATCTCCAAGTATGTCTCTAGTCTCTCGATAGTGAATATCCAAAACCGCGAATGGCGATTTGCGATGTTCCAAATTTCTAGTTACAATAATTTTTTGAAAGGCGAATTATCCTAAACGGATTCTCTCAAAAACATAAAATATCAAAGATGATTTTGAAACGCCTTAGTTAAGATATGTATTTTCGTGGTTTTATCGTTGATCTTTTACTACCCTTAGCTTTCCTGCTCCTTGAATGGAACTGGTTTTATGATAAAATTTTACGCGGGCAAAGTTATTTTTACTACATTAGTGGCAACTAGTGTATGGTTCATCAACCATAACAATAAAAAAAATAAATATCATGAAAAAGAGGGAATTCTATGTCTGTTGCGGTGAACAACCATATAAGGTGCAGACGTATATCAGGTAAAAGCAATGAAATTAGTATATATTAACGGGTTAAATTAGAAGTTTTGAAATGCAATTGAAGATAATATCATATTCCTAGTCCTCAAGTTGTAATCTTTTACTATTTAATGTATTTAACACAAAATTCTCTGCGTGTAAGAATTAATCTCAGATGGAGAATAAAGAAAAAAAAAAGAAAATCACGCAGAACCACAAACAGTGTACGCACAACTGAAACGAAGTACTTCAAAACGAGAAAAGGGCGCATCCCCTCACCATATCTTTTCACAAGAGCTTGATATATTTCGTGGTCAAGAGATGGAGTGTGGTATTTAGTTTTTAGGGGAGCGAGAGTATGTAATATTTACAAATAAATTTGCAAAGGCCTGAAAGCGTTGTTGAAATTTCGGGTTTGACAAGAGCTTGGATGAAATACTCTCAATCAGGATCATTGATGCCGGAACCCACCATTTCCCACCTACTTAGTTGAGAAAGAGACTGAAAGCAACGGTGCCATGTATAAATCTTATGATTTTGTTGTGACAGGATCTGTATTCTCTCTTTTGCAAATATACACGGAAAAAAAGTGTTAGAGGTTATTCTCTTAACTTACGGTACTGCCCCACTTTGTTGGATAATACAGGCATTTCAAATTATACTTAAGATAGTACTACAAGTCAAGTTAATTGAAAGGTACATATTTGGGAGTACATATTAGTTCAGCAGAACACTTTTTTCATCCCCATATGTCTCAGAGTAACCTATGGAAGCTCGGTCGATTTAACCAAAATTTAGGTCGATCAACCCTGTCCCTTTGGTTGATTTGACAGAAAAAAGTATACGAAAGTAATCCCAAAGTAACCATAAACACGTGCGGACATTCTTAACTGAGTGCTTTATGTTACCAATCTGCCAGCTTCAGTAAAGAATGCATAACATTCCCAAGTAGCAGTGATCACGAAAAATAGCGATTTTATCGGTTGATTATCGCAACTATATCGGTGGCAATTTATCGAATAAAAAAAATTGCGATTTATGGCGATTAAATCGATAAGCATCACAATTTTTTGTTTAATAAAATCGCGATCAATTTTCGTCAGTAAAATCGAGATTAAATCGCCACATATCGCGATAAATTGCCACGCGATAGAATCGCGATTTTAATGCATAACAAGATCGAGTATAATCGCTCAGATGTTGATGATCTCAGCGATTTTACCGCCGACAAAATTGCAACATTTGCGATTTTTCCGTTGAAAAATGCCACTTGGGTTTGGATCGCAACTAGCAAAAAGTAACCAGAGTAATTACAGTGTTTTCAAAATCGAGAAAATTCCTTTTTTCTTTTAAAAATTCAACAGTTCAAAAATTTACACAATTTTTTCCCATTAAAATTGATGATTTTTCGGTGACACATACAAATGTACGCACGTATGCAAAAACTATTATCTATTTTGAGAGGTTGTTTAGATACACTGGAAAAAAACACATTGGGTCTAGAGTCGAGACTCTTAAAAACATCGAAAAGAAAAAATACTCTTGATTCAATCGGATTTTTGTCTAAATCAAGACCAAACCTCTTAATTTGATCGGATTTCCTTTTGATTTAAGCTTAAATCTGATTGAATCAAGAGTATTTTTTCTTGCCAATGTTTTCAAGAGTCTGAACTCTAGATTCAATGTGTTTTTTTTGTCCAGTGTCCTGAAGAAGCAACATATTTTAACAACATTGTAATTGCGCTGGCTCTTTTTTGCTAAATACGATCGATTTTATAACGTGTGGAATGGTCCTTTATTGAATTGTGACAACGATTCGACGCAACGTGGCAGCTAAGTAATAAAGCCGAACAAAGCGGTTATAATTAATGGCGAGTAGGGCCGGGACCGCGGAGAAGAGTGAAGAGTGAGGAGCAATTATAAGATGATTCAAAGACGGGCCATTCAGACATCATCTCAGGAGCCGGAGCCGGGCGGCCATGGTGAAAATAACCAAGATCAAAGGGAGAGGCTCAATGGCCAACTTCCCTTGTCCCTTGTCCCACCTCCTATCGTGGGCCCTCCTCGTTCGCATATTTCTAATCATAATTTCTCTCGACGCTTCTCGCGCGGATCCACCATAGACGATTCTCTCTGCCTTCAAATTCGAGTCACCGAAATTGAACCACGCAAAAGCACTCGGATGAAAATTCAGACACCCTTCATCGTAAATTTTAACTACTTTCGCACTGGAAAAAAAACACATCGGATTTAGAGTCCGGACTCTTGAAAACATTGACAAGAAACAATACTCTTGATTCAATCGGATTTTTGCTCGAATCAAAACGAAATCCGCTTAAATTAAGAGGCTTTGTTCTTGATTTAAGCTAGATTCTGATTGAATCAAGAGTACTTTTTCTTGTCGATGTTTTTAAGAGTCTGGACTCTGGATCCAATGTGTTTTTTTCAGTGCGAAGTGTGCGTTCTTTATTACTTCTTGTTTTTGGAGGTTTTAAGCCGTCGCAAATTGTTGAAGATATTGCGTTTTTAAACGGAAAATAAACCGCAAGGGTCGAATTTGCCGCTGATGAAATGCTTCGTTTCTTGGTATTTTGTAATACCTACATGGGTCATTTTTACCAAAAAAAAGAGAGAGAGACTCATCTGTAAACGCGCCTCGTTTTTGCGTCAAAATCATTGGTTGCTTTGAGTTTTCCAGTGAAAAAACTTGGTCATTTTTCACCCTATTAATTCATACTTTACTATATTTTACCCTATTGGATCATATGCTTGAAATCCCAACTTTGTAAATAGCAATGTTACCCTTTCACAAAATAAAAAAGATGTATCGTAGACTTTTTTTCAAAGACCTCCTAACAGCATTTTTTACAGTCATATTTATAGCGGTATTATTTTTAAGAAAAGACTGAACAGTAAATACCATCAGAAATAATTCGAACATTTTGAAATGTTGTTCCCTCACACTCTATACCAAAAGTGAGTTTCAGAACCAATTCACCAATTCCAGCATGCAAGAATAAATCAAGTATTGTAAATACCTTTGTAAGGTAAGTTAGTACGGTTGGACCGAGGAAAAATAGTTTTCCTCCATTGAAACTGAATTTTCATACGTAGGTAAAATATTTCTTTTGACTCTCTTGTTTGAGAAAAACATATGAGCTGCTCCTATCAAAATTATACTCGTTGCTACATTGATCCAAGAATGTATAGCTCGGTTGCTTTCAGCTTATTTTAATCCAAACGCTCTAAATGTGAGCTCTTTGCCAAGCCTATGAAATACTCTAGAATACCTCCAACCTAGTTTTCAGTTTTCTCAAAAGCAGAGTAATTCTTAGTTTTTGGAAAGCTTTTGTCGAAACGGAGCAGATGCTTCAACGTTATTAGCGGATCATTAGTCTTAAGTCATTCGGATGTGGACATTAAGTTTTAATAGTCCCTGAAACATTATTGACTAAAGAGTCAAGTACTTATTTTTTATTCCTTTTCAAGTTCATTAAATCCGTGAAAAGTGCTGTAGTCTGCTGAGAGTTACTTCGTGCCTTTTCGTGGCGCATGAAACCAAATGGTCCGGAAGAAAGTAAGTGCTCCGAACAGAAACTTTCTTAGCGAGAAAATGTGTGGGGACGTTAACAAAATGAGAGGGAGGGCAACAGATTTGTTCAAGCTTTATCGTCTGAGAGATCGGGGTCTTTAATGCTTTTAGTTCAGCGCTTTATCTAGCAAACGTTGAACATTCGAATGGGAACTTGAGACAATGACGGTTCTTCAATTTCACATGTTGACTAACATTTGAATTTTAAACCACGAAATTTCAAGATTTGTGTATACGTGCATCAGTAAGCATTTAATTTAATCTACATTTTTTCTTAATGTTCTACGAATAAATGTACTGAATGTACTCTTGAGATCTACGTAATTACTTGATTTTCTTATCTAAGTTGAATCGGACTTATCACGTTGAAAAAGGACACAGGAGTTTTGAATAGCAAAACAGTTGTTTTATTGTCGATTCATTTAATAAAATACTTCATTTTTTCATCAATTGGTCAATTGTTATCATGTAGGGTCACTGCTGACAAATTTAACACGAAAAAATTCAAGTGTAATAAAAGCATACATTATGTTATTCATAGGTATATTTTATATCGAAGGCTTGAACACACATTGAACTTTTCACATCATTATTATCAGCATAAGTATTGTTAAAATCGTTCGTGCGTTTTGAATCAAGGAAAGGGATTCCAATGAATGTATACTCAGACGATGCAAAGAACTTGCAAGCCGTCTTGCCAGTTTTTTATGTCTATTTTTTTTTTTTAATGTATATATGTTGCATTAAATTTTTTCAAAACATCTAAGGACATCCTTAGATAACATTCTGCCAATCACCATAGTTTTCAGGGTCCAACTTGTGTCAAAACTCCCAAAGTTCCTTTCTCCTATGCAGCGGTATCAATAACTTTTAAATTAGAAGATATGGTCCCTTTCCACAGATCCAGTTGTTCCCATCAATAAGTTACATGTAAGCATGGGATGGGCTGGGTCGTGATTGTGGAAGTTCCATGGTAGGTCTTGAAAGAAGAAAGTAAGTTGTTGCCGACCAGTTGTGAAATAAGAAAAAAAAATATCTCTAGTTTCGATGTCTTATCGAGCTGCTTTAAACTATCAATAATCGACCCACACTGGGAAAAAAAAAAAAAAAAACACATTGGATCTACAGTTCAGACTCTTAAAAACATCGACAGAAAAAAATAATCTTGATTTTATCGGATTTTTGCTTAGATGAGGAACCAAGCCTCTTAATTTGAGCGAATCTCCTTTTGGTTTAAGCTTGAATCTGATTGAATCAAGAGTCCTTTTTCTTGTCAATGTTTTCAAGAGTCTGGACTCTAGATTCAATGCGTTTTTTTTTCCAAGTGCACTGTCACATCCATCGAAGATAGATAACTTCCCTCCTTTCATGATTCTCACTTTCTCCATCTTTATGTTTCCAGACTCGGAAGATAACGACATCTCGCTGACAAGATCCTATTACTAAGGGATGCCGGAGATCTCCAGGCACAGGGATGACAGCGATATCGCGGCGACGGGCCCGGAGCTCCCTCCGGTTATCACGTATCCCGACGGGCCGGCACCGGCACCAGCGGAGCGCACTTTAAATTGGTAAGCTCTAACGAAGGTAGTGCATGAAACTAATTATGATTCAGCGGACAGTTTCGGAGCACAATCGGGTTGCCAAGCGGCCGAGGAGCCGGCGCAAATATCGGCGGCTCCCAACCGCAAGGAACCTACAAACGCACACGCTCTTACCCCCGAGCGCACATAAACTTTGATTATCGGAGGGACGGCGAATTATTCCTTTCGCGAGAGCCTCGCGCACTTGGTGACGACCATCGAATTAATCAAAACCCCCTCCCTCCTGCCCTCCCGGATCCCTTTCGAGATCCCCTCGCCCCGCCGATTCCTTCACCCTTTTCTTAGACCCTTCCCGATCTCCCCCCCGTTATCTCCGCGCGCGGACTGACCCAATATTTATCATTAATCCCATTTGACTTGGCCCGGCCAAGACACAGGCGGCAGTCGGACTGGACCCTTTGTTTCATTAGGCCAGATATCCCTTTGTCTTGGGATGCTCCTTGAGTGCCCGGATTCGGGAACAGGTATTACCACTCTCATCTCGGCGCTTGGACGCTGCTCCGAACCGGACCGCGCCTGGACCGCTGAGGATTCTGTGAGAATCTTTCGCGGGGGTCAAGCGGGGTTATCGATTCTCGAGCGACCCTCTCGCTCGCATCATCCTTTTTATTGGGACTGGATAAGTAGGCAAGTGTGGTATCTGCATTGCAAAGGTTGGTCCGATAAGTGTATCGAAAGCAATGCTCGGAGAGAAATCGGAATCGTGCTATAGAGTACACCTCATGAATTATGAAGTTGTTCTATTGCCTGCAAGGACTGCACGTGATTCTTGCTGCAGTGTTTACCGTCGTTGGAGGAAGTTGAGCCACTAAGAGAAAAAAAGCGATTGGAAAAGGCTATACAAAGCAATTGTAACGACATTTGACTTTATTAATAAATATGGGGCGAAAAATCAATGATATACCATAAGTTCAGAACAGAGATTTTCCGAGTCATTCAAGAAAAAAAGAAGAGAAAAGAATAGTAATGCAAAAATTAAATTTTCACTCTCTCGAGTTTTTGCCACAATTTAATGACTGCTCGGATACTAAATAAGGTTTTCTTAAAATTTTAATTTCCCACCTCCAACCTGATTCCGTGGACCCCCGGACTATCAGCCAGTTGGTCATGCAGTGACTTTTTTGGTAAATTTTTGTGCGTATTTAATAAAATCGTTCCCTCTAACCTCAACCCATACGTTTTTAAATGTTAGCTAACCAGAGAAGTTAGTGCTGTAAATAAACTTGCTTGCGGAACCTGAAAATATGGAAACATTCAACAGAAATTAAAGATAATCCTGGAAAAGTAGATTACGTTAAACTACCATCGAATTACAGTATAGATGATTTTTCTGTTTTTGCATTGGAAGCAAAACATATAATTCACAATTTACTCGAAAATTATCCTCAAGTAGTAAACGCACCTGATTGCATTAGATGGTCGGATGCTACGCAAGAAGAAATTAATTCTCTAAGTGAAAGTAAGACATGGACCTTTGTAGATATAACACGGGAAAGACATCTAATTGGTAACAAATGGGTAATCCTAATCACCTTAAAAACTGATGAGCATGGAAACATGAAAAGATGCAAAACTAGCTTATAGAGGCAAAGGGATATTCTCAAGTTCATGGAAAAGAACATAACCATCATTCATGTATGGTATTTTACGAAGTATGAAAAAAAAATCAATCCAAGCATTTCATTTGGTCTCATGGTTCTGGAACACCACAACGTCCGATGGACTTCCTTATTAATAGAATTTCATACTTTATTTTTCATATTTGACTCTATCACATATATCAAATTTCCTTCATATTTTTCTTAAAAAATTTAATAATCAATGGCACCCTAAAGTTTCTTCAGTCAGTATTCCTCCATAGACTATATATTCAGCTCAGTTGATCAAGTTGTAAAGCGCCTTTACCCCTGTTTCCTAAGGAACCGAAGAAGGAACACGAGTTGCGTAATTCGATACTTTAGCGGAGCATAAGTATTATCACAGCTAATCCTCGGACTCGAGAGAGTTTAAATAACTGATACAAAAGCTTGTTGCTCCGGGCGGAGTATCGTATCGTAAATTATAATTACAATAAGAGAGATAGAGCGAGCGCGCGGTCGGTCGGGGCCACGCCACTGGCGGCAAAATGCGAAAACGGCGGGGCACAAAGCGGTAAAATCGTCACTCCCCTCACTAAAAGACATAACTCTATTTTTACAAGAGCCCTAGAAAGTATAAAGTTAAACGGAGAACAGGGGTCACATAGATATTGAGTAGCGCCTTTGCGTCAGAAGAGCGACGAAATAGGAAAATGGGAGCGGTTGGTGCGAGGGGGTTTCTACCCCGAGAAGTGGTGGCGGGGGGGCGAGGGGGTGTAAATAGAGCCAAGTCCGAGTTCATTACCGCCTCTAGCCGAGCCGAAGCGGCGTTCCTTGTAACTTGTAACTTACCAGTCGAAAACTCCTCAAATTTATCCGCCATCGTCTAACCCCTTTCCCCGAAGACCTCGCCCGCCCCCGAGCACCCCCACCCCTCGCTGGCTGCCGTTCCGAGCTTGTATTGTTTTCATTAGTTGTAAGCCGCGCGCCAAATTGCTGTGCCAAGGGTTACGGCCGTCCGGTGGCCACTATCGTCCTCCTACATTGGGCCACACGAGTTTAATTTTCTCCTGCGCGGCGCACAGACGCTCCGTTTATGATACCGGGTAAGACCTCTCGTTCTTGAGGTTCTCTCTCGGAGATTACAACGGAAACCCCCTTCTCATAGTGTGAGAATAACCACCGGACCGATTATTCAAATTGATAGACAAAGCTATAGACAAAGGAGACAAAAGAGATATGGAGAGATCCTATTGGTGGAATTAAGCGAGTGGTTGCAATGGACAAAGGAGGTAGGTAATAGACTAACTAACGGCAACCCACGAGAGACCCGACAATTAGTGTATCATTTTCTCCCTTTGTCTACGGGAACCACCCATGTCAACCAATAGGATCGCTCCATACTCCCTATGTCTTCTTTGTCTATAGCTTCGTCTATCAATTTCAATAATCAGTCCGCAGAACGCATCACGTGTGAACTGGTGCAGCTCAAATAAGTTCAGCAGGCTGAAAGTAAAATCACTTCAGACTGCATATTGTTTAACAAATATTTTTACTATTTCTAGATATATTACATCTTTTCTTACCTGTATTGCCTTTAATTTGAGGGAGTCTCAAGGGGGGTAGATTGTTTAAGCTATTTAAGCTTTAACCCTGTCTGGTTTTATCAACCGAAACATTGGCGCCCGAACTGGGACTCTGAATTTTTCTAAAACTTTTCTTGTTGTGAACCCCTTGTGATCCGTAACCCCTCCCTCCTATCCAAGTTCCTGGGTTATTCAGAGACCTGCCCTGGCCTCTTGGTACCTTGGCTGCCTTGCCTGACCTGCTTCACTTGTTCCTGATAACTTGACTGGTGATATTGATTCACATTTTTTACTTGTTTATTACTTGTTCAAATTTTGGATTTTCTAACCTTATTTTTTCAAATTTTATTGTAAAATTTCCATCTCCATTTTTTCCTTCTCGTCCGTGATTAAAAACAGCTGGAGTTTTGTTTCGCGCAATGCTGCCGGTTTGGAATTAAACACTTAATTTTGGAGAAAAAGAATCAACCCCGAAGCTCAAAAAAAGCTCCCAACTTGAGGCCAAAATGGAGGCCAAATGGCCTTGGCTTTAACCCTAGTCTCCGTGGTAACAAAGACATCTGCTTACAAAAAACGTATCGTCAGACTCAAATGTCTCATGTAATTGCCTACCTATGCTGGGACATCTTAATTATTCAATAGTTCTGTTGTTAAATGTCACCAACTCACTTGTCAGGAGGTCAGATGAAGAGAATTTCTGGGAAACCTCAATTAAAAACCTTTTACGTTCCTTTTTAGCTTTACTGAATATTAACTATGTCCGCATTTTGCGTAACTGGTATGGATCCTTAAAAAAGTTGTATCTGCAACATGGCTTTCACGTAGGTTGTAATAGTTGTTTATGCAATAATCTTGATACGTAGCTACTTCAGCTGTATGTGTATTATCCACCCATTAGCACTGCCGTGCTGAGAAAGAACATAGTAAAAACATCTATACGTTATTGCCAAATTCTGATTGTTAAACTCGGTCTTTCTTGATGATATATGGGTATTTTTCATCAAATTTTTCACAGAATTTTCGCCATATTAATCTAATGTATCGGAACACTTCAAAGAAAATTATTCAAAACTTTTCTCGAATATAAATAAAAATTACACAAATTTTGGCAACCAACGAGTGCTCATACGTTGTTCTTCTTGAGCATGGAACTATGGAGGAGTAGTCATCATGCAGAGACATTTTTCCTCTCAGATAGATTCGCTAGTTCCCTCCGAGAAACGACAACAAGGGTAGAAGAGCAGACCCTGAATCAGAGTCCTATACAATTGGAAAAAACCATTTAAAACCATTATTGGGAAAAACAATTTTAATCAACCAAGTAAAATTAGACACATACATGGGGAATAAACAATTAACATTCACGTGGAACAGTAAGATAAAGAAACTGGAAAAAAAAACCTCTGAAACAGAAAATACGGAAAACGGAAAGAAGAAGGAACAGGAACAAGAAGAGGAAGAAAAAGCGGAAGAATTGGATGAAGATTAAGAGAAAACAGAAAATAAAGAAGAAAAAGAGGGAGCAGACAATAAAGAAGAAAAAGAAGAAAAAAAGAAAAGAAAAAAGAAGGAACGAAAAAGAGAAGAGTTGAAGGACAAATTGGAAAAAAAGCAGGGCAGAAATCGAAAAAGAAGAAGCAACAATTAAAAGGAAAACAGAGTAAAGTATTTAAAAGATAAAAAAAAACGATACTTAAAACTTAGTTAGAAAACAAAGGTAAAAGCTTAAAAAGAAGTTTGTATGAAGGTTTAAAAAACAATTTTAATTTAAAGTTTACAACTTACAATTTTTGAAAAAAATTGTTATATTTATTACTTCAAAGAAAAAATTAGGACCAATTCAAAGACAAACCAGAAAATTAAATGAAAATAAATAAATTAAAAAAAAGACATGTGAAAGGGAAAGGTGTACATGAACAATAAGAGGCTGCGAAGCAGCCCCATAAGCCCCTAGTACAATATAGACAAACTTATAAACGAATTGATGAAATGTAACCAAGTGCAGAAGGTGAACATACATATGATTATTCATCAAGGAGAGCAAAATAAACGATGAGAACCTGGAGTTCGCAAACTTACGTGCTCTTTGAGTGCTAGTAAATAAAAATGTATGCCTCAAGTATTGGAGCGTTTTACAAAGTTCACCGGTCGCTTATCTTGAATTTTGTGATTTCAGAGCATGCAGAAGATGATTTCAAAACCACCAAGCTGTAAGTGGAGGAATTTTGCTAAGCTGACGCTTTACATTAACTGAAACGAATTTCGGTATTGACTGAAGGCTCAGCCGGAGATAGGTTTCAAGCAAACAGCACCATGCCAAGCAAAATGCCACTATTCATGCAATTTTACAGCGACGTGATCGTTTTGCATGGTGAGGTAGGTTCTGATGTCATTCGAGTCGATGCCGATATTGATTTATCTTGATTTGAGGATCATCTCTCATGTTTAGCAACAAAATAATACAAGTATGGTCATTGAAAATGTGGAGTTTCAACTTATGCCTATAGAGATTTCCCTGTCGAATTTAAAATTACCTTTTGATTTTAGCTCGTCTGCTAGGATTCACGAGTTACATTACCTTTCATTTTGACACATGTAATCATCGGTCTATTCAGTGGCGTGGCGTGAATGATCGATTATCGATATCTCGTCATTTGAAGCTATGGTAAAGGATCGATTACTAAGGTGTTCCCTGCGAACACCCTAATGATCGATATTTTTTCATAGGTTTGAGTGGCGTATAGATTGATAAATCGCAAAGCACGCCACGCCACTGTTCTATTATTCTCCAATCATGTCTTAAAAAAAACAAGATGCTCTATTGAAGCGCCATCCATAATTCAGAAACACAATTAGTAACTGATCACTAATCACAGTGATTGCTGATGGTGGGGTTTTCCTGTGCGTAGCACGGGTTTCCTGCTAGTTGTTTATAAGACTACATTAGCTATCATTTAAAAAAACTGAAAAAAACCCTCTTTTTTACCACTAGTGTAACTAGTGACCCTTTTTTTGTCACGAGTGTAACTACTGATAAACAAAGAGTTAATGGTATGAATGAGTTATTGAGTTAATGATAATGAATGAGTTAATGATAAAAAAAAACTAACTCGGCAGTAATCATTCCCTAATTTTGCCAGTGTCACCAAAATGATGTTGATAATAACAAGTATTACATAGCACCTGATAATCATTTTTCGACTCATCTCGAGTCAGGAGGTTTCAGATCTTAAAATCAAAAGGCATTTTCCAAAATACGCTCTGAAAAACTCGTGCGAGTTTCTAAATACTTTGCACACTAATGAGAAACAACTTAATCGACCGTAAACGATGGTACAAAATCAACAACTTAAAATGTGAGACTTACCAAAAAAGCGGGGAGGCTCAGTATAAAAGTTTTTTTCTAATTTTTTTTCTCTCTCTATTTCCGTGGTTGAAGATGCAGTTGTGATGTGTGCAAAACGTCCATGTTCTTCGTTTTACGGTTTATTTTGCGGCCTCAGCCCCATTATAAGTTGTTCATCTTATACGCAGCCTATACCTGCACGTATTTTTCGAAGCGACCGTACCTTGAGGTATATTTCGCAAGATGAAGAGCTCACTGAGGTGGAGGGTCGACGGAGATTAGAAAGCGGGCGAGTTTTCTGAAATATAGACTCAATTAACAAGGCAACTTAATTATTCGGCTCGGATGATGTTGGCTGAAACCCGAAGTCGGCCCAGGAGGTGATGATGCCGCCGCGAAGGGGCACCAGCGACGAGGGGCGGGGGCTCTCCGAAATATCATTAATGTCCGATTACAGGGCTTCCAGTCATTAGTGATACCAATTTTCCCTCTCCGGGGAGGACGCTCCGACGATAAGGAAAGTTTACGTCGAATTGGCTCTCTTCGCGAATCTTGGGACCGGGCCCGCGTCAAGCCACCGTTCCACAGTCAGCGTGTCGCTGCGACGCGAAAATAACCGTGCACGCCGTGATCTAAAACCACTGAAAATGAGATTTCACTGCGTACTCACGCGAAGAAGAAAGAGAATAAAAATAATTAAAATAGGAAGAAAAATAATAAAAAGAATGAAAGAGGAAGAAAAATAATAAAAAGACTAAAAAGAGGAAGAATAAGAATAAAAAGAATAAAAATAATAAAAAGAGGAAGGAAAAGAATAAAAAGAATAAGAAGAGGAAGAAAAAGAAAAGGAATACAAAGAGGAAGAAAAAGAATAAAAAGTAGGAAAAGAATAAAAAGAAGAAAAAGAACATAAAGATGAAGAAAAATCAGAAAAAGAAGAATTAAAATAAGTAGTTGTAGAGAAGAAGAAGAAGAATCAGAATCGGGAGGAGTAAAGGAAGTAGAAGAAGAATAATAATAAGAATCAGAAGAAGTAAAAGAAGTAGAAGAAGAACAAGGTTCAGAAGAAGTAAAAAACGTAGTAGAAGAAGTAGAATAAGATTTAGGAGTAGTAAAATAAGTAGGTGAATAAGAAGAAGACGAATAAGGAGAAGTACAAGAAGTAGAAGAATAAGAAGAAATAAGTACAAGAAGAAGAAGAGGAAGTAAAATAATTAGAATAATAATAAGAAGTAAAATAATTAGAAAAATAAGAAGAAGTAAAATAATTAGAATAATAAGAAGAATAAGTACAATAATTACAAGATTAAGGAGAGGAAGAAGGGATTGAGCGGCTTGGCTTCGCGGCGCGCGACAATCTTCGCGTCGCGCACTGCCTGTGAAACCGTAGCTTTCGCTCTAGGTGAAGCAATGAAGTTTAATGAAAGGTAATAGCGGGAGAATCTCAGGCTTTTCATATTAAACTTAATAGCATCTCCAAGTATGGAGTCATTTTGTCTCTGGAAATTCAGCTCCGTTCCCTGGCTTCGTCCTCTGCTTTTCTTCTGTATCGCGTTACGATCGAGGCTTAAACCCTGCCCACCCTTCCGTGTCCCTTTATCAACACCCCCCTCTATCTTCAGTCAGCCGGCTCATGATGTGACCATTCCGCGTCCGAGATGGACGACAGGAAGATGCAATAGACCGTATTCGATAACGGTTCGATGTATCGTTTGGTTCAAAACAATAGAGCATAACCTCAAACCAAGCTGTGAGGATTTAAGTTGGAAAAGCTGAAAATGCTGAAAAAAACTCAGCCGGCTCATGATGTGACCATTCCGCGTCCGAGATGGACGACAGGAAGATGCAAATAGACCGTATTCGATAACGGTTCGATGTATCGTTTGGTTCAAAACAATAGAACATAACCTCAAACCAAACTGCGAGGATTTGAGTTGGAAAAGCTGAAAATGAGAAATTTCCTGACAGTATCACTTTGCATTGGCATTTGATACTCAAAAGAAAAACAAATCTGTTACAAAGGACCCGTTCTCTCAGATTTCTGAATTTACTTTTGAGGCTATGTTTATGTTTTGAACCAATCGAAAGCGATACAATCTCACCCGTTTGATGTATCGAATACGATCTATACAATAAATACACGGAATTATAGCATGACCGGATTTACCTACTTGCCGCTCATGGGCCGCCTGTATTTTGCCGCCCTCTTCTCATTCATTTTGAAACATCGATAAAAACCATCGAGTGAACGTGCCGGAGGGAGAAGGGTTCATAAGACGCTTTTACTCGTGTTGGACACATTTTTATGCGTATGCCCTGTCAAAACTATTAGCAAAAGTTCACAGAACTTCGCGCAAAAGTTCAGTTCCGTAAACCTATCTCTGTGGGGACAAGACATTTGTAAGAAATGAACTAAAAAATTAAGAAAGAACCAATATAAATGTGGTTTAATTACTTTACCTTCCGCCGCCGCCGTGCCGTGCTGACCACACTGTGTTTGGCGCAATGCGTGAAGTATTCATGTAGTCTTGTAGGCACTGTGCGTTTCACGCCGCGCCGACCGCTGTTGACCGTACTGTGTTTGACGCAATGCGTGAAGTATTCATGCAGTCTCGTAGGCGCTAATATGTGATACATGCCGACCGCCGCGTCAAGGGCTTCTCCTTTTCATCTCAAGTCCTCGTCATCATTTCTCTTTGCGCCGCGTCGCGCCAGGCCAAATTACGTGTTTGGTTTCTCTCTTAACTCACCTAATTGAAGGTGCGCAGTCTTTTGTATCACCGAAATACGACAAAATTAGAAATTATTGAACTCTCAGGAAATGAGAGATTTTTGTTACCTTTTCTTGTTTGTAATTGTTTTCTGAATCCGATTTTTTTGTACCTGCATTTAAAAAAATTGCAAAATTTGCCGCCCCCTAATTTTGCCGCCATGGGCCGCGGCCCATGTGGCCGCCCCCTAATACGGCCCTGAATTATAGTAGACATTTGCACGAAGTTACCGAATTTTGATCCGAATGTTGTTCTGCATTGAGAGGAGAGGGAGGTCCCAGTTTTTGGGAGCGCTCGGTGGTGTAATTTCTTGTACTTTTTGCTCCTGAATTTGAAAATGATCTTAATTATTACCAAACACCTTTTTGTTTTCTAGAAAATTGATAGAAAGAAGGATGTCCAGAAAAAGCCCTTGAGGATTTGAAAAGGCTAATGCGGCCGCTAAACGTTGACCAACAGAAAAAATATCGAACGACGTTTGTTTATACATACTTAATGAAAAAAAAGGCCCTTCTCAATGGTATAATTCATCGACTAAATTTGATCAGCATCACTTTAGTGACATGATGGTACGTATAATATGAATTTGTTTTGGATATCGATTTCAAAACTCAAAAACACTTAATTCTTATTGCACTGTCAGAAAGTATTTTTCTTCCTCCATTCCTTTTTTTAATGGTTCCTTTCAATCGAAGTGCACCTACGAACAATTTTAAATGTGTAAATTTTCACATGATCTCTCCTATGGAACTTGAAATATTTCCTACAATTCGCAAATTCAAACATGAGAAATGATTTTTTTCAATGCAAGAAGTAAGCAAGTATAACTTAAAACACATCACTTGAGATCCGCCTTGTTTTGTTCCATCCTCAGCGCGAGGAAAACATCTCAATCGTCTTTTTGGAGTGTCATTTTTTGGTGAATAAAAGCGAGCGAATTTTATTTGAATGCCTGGGAAAAAGCATGTAAGAATGTTCTGAAAGATGGGCTCTCTCCATCAATGCGGTGCTCTTACATGCATAATGAAGTTCCAAGCGTCTACCTTGGACGCCTACTTTTCTCATTGTCTCCCCACCTCACTTTAATTTTTTATGTCATTGCGTGAGTAATTGAGTGTAGGTCAAAGCGTTTTAAACGTCTATCCCAGAAAATTCTTCAGCAATTTAGCATAAAGATGAAATAAAAGGAATTTAATTTGCATAATTCGGGCCCATAAGTATTTTAACGATGCATATAGAAATATATTTATGCCGTGATGAGAATTCGAATTCAAGCACTTTACTGTCTCATCACTGAAAATTACGTTTCCAACCGTAATTTTCTGAAAGACATCAAATTTAAGGAATGCCGTCTTTTTTGTGGAAAATAAAATGAACGCAACCTATACTTAACGCACAGACGCGCGATGCAACTATTCGAACACCCGAGCGTGGCATAGTATCACTCGAAATTGAAGGCGAACTTGACGCACCAACTCACTAGGCCAATTACTACAACGACTAAGGTCACTGGATTTTAATATTATGAGAGAATTGGTAACCTGCCCCTTCTTATGGGACCTGTTAAGGTGATTCATCAGGCTCAAGTGACGTGGTCGAAGTGGCATGCGATATATCGCATCGATTAGGTAAAAAATCTCGGCAGATTTCGAATCTTTAGCGTAAAAAAGGACGATAGCCCCTGCACATTAGCCTAAAGAATCATTCTGCACCAAAAAATCGGCCAAATTCAAAGAAATGAAAGTAGAATAATGTTAGGAAAAAACCTCGCATTCAATACGGAAATTGATAGCTGAATCGAATGCGATTATAATGATTCTTAAGGCTACTGTGCAGGGACTATTGTCCTTTTTTATTCTGAAAATTCAAAATCTGTCAAGATTTTTTATCTAATCGATGCGATATATGGCATGCCACTTTGAACATGTCACTTTGAGCTTGAAAAATCACTTTAAGCCCTGTTTGGAGTCAACGAGAGCCACTTAACACGTAACTAAATGATGTTTCTATACCATTCGAAGAAAATCTCGTGAAGCTGAGTTAGAAGAAGAGGTTTGTCAGTTTATCTGATTAGATCGTAACAAAGCACCATTAATTAAGCCAGATTCTGCCATTGGTGAGCGTAAGAGAAGACAGTTCGTCTTCTAGATCGAAATCTGACATAGTGCCATTTTCAGATTTTTAAAATCCGACATAGAATGTTTTCAGATGGGTTTTCCAAGCTGAGAGTAGCAAAACAACTTATGTATTTTTGCAGTTTCATTACCCTGTTTCGTAATTTATTAGTTGTAATTCTTTTGGGCCCTTTTTCTTGGAAAAATTGTTTTACGGATTTAAATGTTTTCCCGGGCAATTCCAATACATCTTGTGCGGTAAACCTACAAAAAAATTAGTGAAGAAGTCAAGTCCACGACAAGCAAAATTAAATATGTAGCTACTTAGTTTACCGTTCAAAATAACTTTTTCTCACAAATTCAGGTCAGTGCAAAATACCCACCTGTGCCTAATTTTGAAATGTCTAATTACGATCATAGCACTTTAAAAATATGCAGTTTTAAGAGAAATCTGATAAAATACACAATTCTCTATGTAGAGCGGCACATTCTGCAAGCCACACTGAAAAAAAAAATCTCGGTATATTTACTAAGAAAAGGGTAAAATTACCAAGAATTCAGGGTTCTATTTGATCCCAGTTTTTTCTTGGTAAAATTACCATTTATGGAATTGGTAATTTTACCTAGAAATCTCGGTAAAATTACTGAACTTTCTCGGTAATTTTACTGGATCTTGGCAAACACGCCAGTATTTTTTATCGACTGTGGTAGAATCACCGAGATAAAATGGCAAACTTACCGGGAATTGATTACTGATCAAAGTGGTATTCTTACCTGAAAAAAACAGTAAAAATACCGGTTTTTAGGTAAGCTTACCAGTCTGTCTTGGTAAAATTACCTATAATCGGTAAAAAAAGTGAGATGGTAAAGATACCAACGGACCTTGGTAAAAACGCCGATAACTTTTTTTTCAGTGCATCAGAATTTTGCTTTGCATAGTTCCAGAGTGGAGGCTCGTGATGATCAAAAGATTTCTACGGCCCTTCTTGATTAAGCACCCCTTCTGTAGGATAATTAAGAACGATTCCATAGCTTCTACCCAGTCCAACCCTTCGTGTCCAGCGCCAACAAGTTGCGAGTTCTCAGCATCCAGGACGAGATTGATCCCGTTGTTTCTGTTGCAGATGATCGGGTTATGATCGGCGAGTGACCCTTGACTCGCCCTTGGACGCCCGTGGGAACGACCCGTGGTCCGCAAGACGCAGCATCCACCTGGCGCGGTGGACCGGTGAGTGGACAGGACACTGGACACTGGACACCGGACACCGCTCCGCGCATCGGCCCGTCAGGCGCAACCCTTTTTTTCGGTCAAATCATGGCAGCCTACATCAAGTGCACTGCCGTGCTAAGGAAAAACACCGTATGAGCCCTCAGACGTTGCCAAGTTTCCTTCGATAAAACACGAATTTCCTAGTAAATTTATGAATATTTTTCTTCCAATTTTTCGGAGGATTTTGTTCGTAGTTTGATCTAAAGTTCCTGAAAATTTCAAGGAAAAATATTCATAATTTTCGTCAAGATAAACATTTTATCAAAGGAACTTTGGCAACTCTTGAATGTTCATACGGCGTTTTTCCTTAGCACGGCAGTGCAGTGGCAAAGCATGTACGGAACTGAAATGTTCTTTACTAGGAATGATTTTGTCAATTAAACTATCTGTGTATGGTTTGATTAATTATACTGTCTTGTTTTCTTCTGTGTAATTCACCATTTATTGTCAACTCGATAGTATGGATTCAAACGATTACAGCAGCGGGTACAAGGCTAAAAACGCGAATAACACCAAGAAAGTTCAGCTGGAAACACCCCGGTCCTCTCCAGTTGGATAAAGACAATGCACATTTAAAAATACATTCAAGTACATACATAAAAGGAAATGCTGCTGCTCTATTGCAGAATTTGGAGTTAACAAATGAAAATTATCCAGCAGCGTTAAAAATCTTGTCGGGGCATTTTGATAGTCAGCGAGTCTTTGTGGATAAACATATCAGTTTTCTATAGTTAATTTGCCAGGCGTGTGTACAGAAGAGTCAACTCGTAAATTAATTATTCAAGATCAACAGGCTTGTCATGCATTAGATGCATTAAAGGTTGAAGCTTGGGATCCCATTTTGATTTTCTTAACTACTAATAAATTTTTTCAAAGAGACTCTGAGTGAATGGGAAAAAGTGGCTCCAAAAAAAGAGTGTCCAACTAAAAGCCAATTGTTTGATTTTTTGGAAAGACGGTGTCAGGTATTGCGAGCGTTGACTGTGTCAACATTGCCAAATGAACAGCGAGAACAAGGTAAGAGTTTTAAGACCTCCACAAAAATCGGAAATAGCTTTCGATGTCCTCTTTGCAATCAAGCACACATAATTTATCAGTGTCCTGAATTTTTGTCTACGCCTGTTAGAAGTAGAATTGTTAAAGCAAAATATCTTGGAGTATGCCTAAAAGGTTTCGTCAAGAAGATTGTGCAATCCCTTCGAGGAAAGCGAAAAGTGAAAAGGGAAATCGTACTATCCCTTATTCGAAGAATTCCAGAAGTGAAAAGGAAAAGCGTCTTGTAGTTCCATCTAAAACAGCGAGATACATGCCATCTCAGCAGCTCTTGTTGGACGAGAATTGGTTATCTACTAGATTTCTGGAGCTCGTCAGCAATTAGGTGACCCTTATTTCCGACCCGAGCTTGCGATCTGCTCTGCCGGGAGAGATCGCGCTATTAGTGGCAAAATACAGAGACATGGATTCGGAAAAAAAAGAAGAAAGGAAGAAGAGACAAAAGAATGAGAAGCAGCAGAGACACGTCAAGTTCGGGTCGCAGCCGGAGCCGGTCCCCGAGCCACATGAGTCGCGAATAGAATTACCTATGAACTAGTTGATATATAACTTATATATGAAAATGAAAATCCTTTAGTTAGTTAGTTATTATAATTTTGACACATTCAGCGACTTAGGCTATTAACGTCTTTACAGGTAATTTTGAAAATATATAGGAGTATAAACGAAAATTTAGATCCTTTATATCTGAAAATGAAAATCCTTTATATATGAAAATGAATATCCTTTATATATGTATGAAAATGAAAATCCTTTATCGTCTTTGATTGTCGCATCAGAGCATATCAAAGGGTTACATTGCTGCCCACAGTTATTACTTTCTTTGGTCAGAGCGACATTTTGGCCAATGAATGGTTTAAAGTTGGCGAAAAAAATAGCCAATTCATGTGTGCCATGCCGTAGAGTAAGACCATCGAATATAACGCAGTTAATGGGAAACTTACCACAAGAAAGAGTTACACCTGCGAGACCATTTACAGTCATAGGCTTGGGCCATTGTGGACCATTCAAAGTGCGCTTGCAACCTAACAAAAAAGCCGTCGATCTATTGTATATGTTGTATTTATATGCTTCGCTACAAAAGCTGTTCATCTGGAGGTAGCATTTAATCTAACTACTTACTCATTCCGATTAGCACTTCAGAGATTTGTATCTAGACGCGGAATTCCTCATACAATCTATTCGAATCAGGCAAAAACGTTTATTGGTGCTAGAAATAATCTTTGACAACCCCTGTTGTTTGAAAATAACCTTCCACCTGAAATTTTAAATTACTTGCGAGAGAAACAGGTTGAATGGAAGTTCATCCCTAGTTACACTCCTCATTTTGGTAGTTTATGGGAGAGCTGTGTCAAAAGTTTCAAACATCATTTTTCTAAAACTGTAACAACAAACGTTCTTCATTTCGAAGAATATTTAACAATCCTTAACAAAATCAAAGCAATCCTGAATTCTAGACCTCTTTGGCCAATGTCAAACGATCCCTCTGATCTCTCTCCACTAACTCCTGGCCACTTCTTGATTGGTTCTGCAATGACCGATGTATTAAATACTAAAGCAGAATATCCGACTTCGTCGGTCACAAATTAGAAGTTAATTAAAATATTATACGAAAAATTTTGGCAACGTTGGTCGTTGGAATATTTGCATCAGAAGCAACAAAGATGTAAGTGGGTAAAACAAACTAATATTAGACATTAGTGATATTAAAATATAAGTTTTTGCCTCCTCTGCTTTGGAGAATGGGCAGAATTTTAAAACTTAACCCAGGTAATGACAAAATTCCTAGAGTCGGATCAATCAAGACCAGTTCTGGCACTTTGATACGCAGCATATCTGAAATTTGCCCTGTCCTAAACCCGAAATAGCCCGCCCGGGGGTGGCACCCTGTACAATTTCGACTGTATAGTATATATATCTCATGTATGTATCTATGGTTACGCACCACCACTTAGTCTTAGTCCTCTCTCACGCTTATATACGCTCATCTGATCCAGATAGATTTGTCTTAATTTCCTTCCTATTTTCCCCTTTTCCCTACAAGGTGTATTGACTTTAAATACTGAAATATGGCAAAAATGTTGGCTATCTCTCTCTTATTAGATGTATACATACATAACCTCTAATTACGCATATGAGTGTATTTCTTGTGATAACCATAGAAAAAATGGTGAGAAGTGAGGCCACATCTGCATAATTGAAGCCTCTTCTCATTGGTCACACCCGTTGAAGCGGGTCCCCCTTCGTCTCCAGGGAAACAAAATCTTTAGTATAAAAATTCTAAGCTAAGCTTTTTATGTGTCTGTAAAAATCATCTCCAAAAGTTCAATCTAAAAATCATCTTCGTCTCTCCTCATTTGTCTTTTGCCCATTTTCCGTTAAATAAAAGGTAATAAATTCCAAATCAAATAGTTCAAGTTCTCCAAAATTTCNCACCCGTTACGCATTTTTGCCCAATTAGAGTAGAACACACTAAATTAGACCTATACGTGAATCCAATATCTCCATGTATAACAACAATTACTTTCAGCTTAGGCACTTCGAAACATTTTTAAGGAGCAAAAGAGGGTGTCAAAAATGTGTTTGGGAGTTTTACCCTTTAGAAACATGCTCCCTATAGATTTTAAAGTGCCTTCACTGGAGGAGCTTTAAAGGAAGTAAAGTGTACGAAATTCTAATAAATGCCACCCGATTAGGAGTTTCCTCTCAAATTTAATTCCTTGATCTCAGAAAATGGCGAGAGCTCTATTTAAACTTAAAAATCAACACCTTTACAATGAAAAGAACTCTAAATTATCTGAATGCAACTTGATAGGTTTATACATTTTTTGGGGCCAAATTTGGCTGGCTAGCGTGGTAATTGATTTAAAAAAATCGAGCTACACGCCAAAAAACAACAAAACAAAATAAACAAGTAAATAAACAAGTAATATAAGTTCTTGTAAGTTTTATATTATTTCTAATCTACATGTAGTTTGAAATATTACTTGTTTATTTTGGCTTGTAGCTCGGTTTTTTAATCAATTACCATGTTTTAAAAGGTCTATCAGGATCATATAACAACAGTGGTGCCCTAAATAATGCTGCCAGTGTCTACTGTCAGCATATAACAACAATGCTGCCCCGAATAATGTTGCCACTGTTTACTGTCAGTCAAAATGTTTTAAAGAAAAATATTTTCTTAATTACTCTTTGAAATCAAAGTAATGTTTGCTGGTAACTTCAACGGAAAACACTCTTTTTGAGGATATAAGCACTCTAAAAATAGAGGCAACCTCATCTTGGACATGGCGAAAGTGTGCCATTCGGTTCTCACTGTCACGCAAGACGTATCAAGCACCAGTAACCTATACATATGATGAATATATACATCAAAATGTTTGATCTAGGAATTTAGGAGATCAAATCTAGATACTGTTCATGAAGCCCCTCTGCTACTGCATCAGTGTTTCATTGATTTTGAAGACGCTTAATTTGCCAAAACGCTTTGAAAAATATTCTTTTCATTTATTTTCACCACAACTTTATCTGCACTCGGTGCTCAAAATGAAGAGAAACCGTAGACAAATTGATTTGTTTTATTATAATTTCAAATTCCTCTTGATCGGATTCGTTTGAATTGGACCACAGGAACCCCATGGCAAATCTAAAACTTACCAACCTATCAAAGAGTGTCACCTATGCGGTAATACTCTCCCGTGCATATGCACTCCACAGCTATGTCTTCGAGAATTTTATGCATCGGTACTGGGATCAAGTAAGATAAGGAGCAAGGCTGTTGGCCCGTTCTGCGTGTTACAACGGAGTGGCAAGGGTGAAGAGACAGAGGGATGAAAGGGTGCAGGAAGGACGAAGAAAGCGGAACACGTGACAGTGACGATA